TAGTGCACGTCTTCTTATTCTATAGCTGTCTTGACAGTCCCCACACCCAGAGTAACTTAAACCTTAGAAACCTATTCTCTGATCTTGGAGACTAGAATCAGGGACAGGGAGGCTCATACCACAGGCTCTGGGGCATCTGTTCCAGGCATCTGCTAGCTGATGGCTGCTGGCACCTCTGCCATTATGTCATGTTCTTCCCTGTACCTTTCTGTGTCCAGATTCCCCCTTTTAAGGACAATGGTCCTTACACAGGGACCCACTCTATCTTTACCGTTTAATTGTTACATTATTTGACTATTTACAACATAGATGCTATTTCCAAGTAAGAACTAGAGGTCAAGTGTAAGCAAGGTTATTTTTCTGTGTGCATTCATGTTCATGTGTGTGCAGGTGCATAGGTGTATAAATGCATTTATGTGTGGGAAAAGGCCAGAGGACATGACAACCTCGGTTGTCATTCCTCAGGCACTGTCCACCTTGTTTGAGACAAGGTATCTCATTAACCTGGAACTCAACAAATAGACTGCATTGCTGGGCAGTGAGTCCCATCCAGGGATCTCTCTGTTGGCCTCCCCAGCACTGGGGTTATAAGCATGGACTACTAAACACATAGGTCTTTCAGGGAAAGTGTTTTACTAACTAAGCTATCTCCCTGCACTATAAACATATTTTTGTGAAGACATAATTCAACCTACGTCTTTCAAGAAAGGCATATTATAATTTACACTGGTACAAAGGACATGTGGCACATTATTAGTTTGCAAGGGTTGCCATAACAAAGGCCACATGATACCTTTACCTGCAGGTGCCACAAGCCCCTTCATCAGCAAGTGTACTTTTCTTCATAATTCTGCAAAATGGTGCATCAGGATGGCAATGTGGACAGGACTAGTTTCTTCTGAGGCTGTTCTCCTTGGTTCAGATGGGCCCAGATATACACCACATATCTTCACATAGTCCTTCTTCCAAGCATGTCTGAGTCCTAACCTGGCAATGGACTAGAGCTCTGTTCATTTCATTTTAGCTTAATTGTCTCTTTAACGACCTCCATCTCCACATGCAATGACACACTGCAATGCTTTGGGTAGGACTTCGATATATGAATTTGGAGAAACACTTGAATTGAATCTATAAACACCACAGGCTGCAAATAAAAATGAATACTATAGTATTCCTCAGTACAAAATCTAAAAGTAGAAGACTGGTCCTCACAGACTGCTTTCAATGAATTTCCTATTATCTCTTGTAGCCGTGCCATATGGTTTCTGCTCACCAACAGGTGTAATCGCAGCATTAACATTGGTGGTTGTTTCATTTGCCTTAATAAGTAATACGAAGTTGAAACAAAATGTATGACAAAACTGCCTGCATTTGTGTGTGATTTGAGCAACTTGTGTAGAATCCAGTAACAGATTGATCACTAAAGAGTGTTCCCTTTTTTTTTTTTTTTTTGCTTGTTCGGTATTGAAAAATAAGCAAGTCCTGACTTGTAGCAACTGCTCAGTTCCTTTCTAGCATGCCGACTCTGCCTTCCGATATGATGTACCCTACGGTAGAAGTCGAAGGCCAAGTGCCAAAGCACAGCAGGGATTGTCACTATACTAACACAGTCCAAGCCAATAGCTTCCCCATCACAGATAAGAATAGCCTGGGTGTGTAGCCCAGTGATAGAGCACCTGCCTAGCTTGAACGAGGCTGCTAGAAAGAAAAAGAACATGCCCTTTAGTCCATCCTTCCCACTCAGAGTCTCTCTAAATCACCACCTTTTATTTTCTGCAAGAGCCAAGCATTTCCCCATAGATTTCAAGGGCCTTCTTGCCATACCATTCCCTCGGCCCTAACATGTGATCCAGCCCCACACCACCCAAGCCCATTACCATCTATATGCTTTGGATTGGAAAAGGTGTTTTAAAACACAATTTTGCAATAGAAGGCACAAAGAATAACATAAATACCTGTGTTCACATCGCTCTACTTGAAACAAATAACCATGAGCAATTATTTTAAATCTGGTGTGGTCCCAGCTGTACTCACCCTCACCACCACCGCCATGCCACCCCAGACTACAGATGGAGGCTGTCATTAGAATACCTTCCATAACACTTGCACTGCATACAACTAGCAGCAGACAGTCTTAATCTCCTTAATTGGTTTAAATTTAGGTACTTTATTCCCTCGTGATGCCATTTTTCTGGCTGGCTGGATATCCATAGATGTACCTCCCATCCCTTTTTGTGGCTGCATTTTGTCTCAGTCTTTTCTGGTCGAATAATTTAGGCAATGATCAAAGGTAAGGACTTGGCAATTTGAAAGCCTTCACCTGGAGGACTGTCTTTCATGGTATCAGCAGGTACCGTACAAGCTTCCAAAGGAAGGAGAGAACCATCAGTCCTACCCAGCTGTGATGCCTGTGAACCACGGTAACAACCAGCATGGCATAATAACCCTGAGGGTGTGGAAGTGGTGTGTGTACCTTTGCAGCAACCAGCAGCTCTCTGATTGGACTTAATGCCTGCTTAAAAAGACAGAACTCATACCTAGATTTGGAAACCTAGCCAACCCCTCAGACCCAGTGAGGTCATGGATCTCAGAGGAGAACCTCCAACCACCACTTTACTAAATCAACATAGTATGTACTAAATATTTGTCTTTATACCCACAGATAAATGTAGACTTCTTGCCTCATCAAGGAACTTCTCTTTGCAATAGAAGGAAACTGTACAAAAATTTAAAAAAAAATCAAAATGCAAAGTTGGAGAGCCCAGGCCCAACAGATACCTCTACAACACAACTACCAAAGCTAAGCTCAGGGAACATTGTGGAAGTGGGGCAGAAAATTGTAATAGCCAGAGGGTCAGGGAATTTGCCGAGTGTGTGTCTTCTAGTAATGTCAGAAGCTACACTCATAAAGTCTCACCAGCAGGACTGCCTAAACATGAGATAAACAAGGATGATACCAATAGACACACTAAAGTGATCTGAACCCTACACAAAGAACTATGGGCAACTAAGTAAAGCTGAGGGCAGGAGAAACAGTCTTCCCCAGGGATAAGCATACCAATTGGTTATCCAATACCAAATGGTCAGTCCTCAAAACATATGTACAAGTAACATCATGCAGAATGAGAGGGCTGAATTTATATATTTAGGAATATATATTTGGGCAGAGACAGGAGAAGGGCTTTGGAATCAGATGACATAGGCTCAAATGGTAATTCTACAACTTAATTCACACAAACCCTTTGCATCTCCATGACTCTATTTCCTCCTTCACAAACTAAACAACAATGACTTTCCCTTCCCATAAAGGCGATTTGAAAAGCCCAAAAGGGACAATTCCTATACAAGGTTCTAAAGGGTATCTACTAATTATGTCAAAGTACTCACTCTTCACTCTTCTTATTTTTCCTTCCATATGCCCACCAGGAAAATCCTGATGAGAACCAAGGTCAACAGCACATTCTGTGCTCAAAAATTTCAGACAAATGTCAAAGCAACTGTGCCAAGTCACAGCCACTCCAGACAGACACATATCCATTGCAGTCAACTGACAGTCATCTACCCATTCCCGTTTGTGTGTGGGGGTGGGGTTTGTTCATGTGTGTGCAGGTGTATGTGTGTACATAAATATGGAGACCAAAGGTCAACCTTATTGTTGTCCCTCAAGAGTCATCCATCTTGATTTTGGGAACAGGTCTCTCACCGGCCTAGGACTCACTGATCAGGGTAGACTGGCAATCCCGAAAACCTCAAGAATCTACCTGTCTTTGCCTCTCCAGAATAGGAATTACAAGAGTGGACCACACCACACCCAGCTTTCTTGTGTGGGTGCTGGAGATCGAACTTCAGTTTAGTTGCATAGTTAAGTACCTTATAACTGAGTTGTCTCCCTAGCCTGAGAAATCTCTATTTTAATGAAGAGAAAAATGAAAAATTTCAATTCCCAGGTACCTGCAGTCAGAACATGAGTAGGGAGCAAATGGGTAGAGACACTTGCAAGGCCAACAGTGTCCACGTGGCTGTGACTGGTGATGTCTGTGTGCTGCCATCTCAGTCCCAGAAATCTGTGCCTGCTGTCACACCTTCTGGAGTCTCTTGGCCAGTTGCCTGGCTCAGTTGCAACATCCCCTATTACTATCACCAAGTATTGCTATGAAACACAATCAATTCCAACATAGTACTTAAACAAAATATCTATTCAACTAACTGAGTTTGTATTTCACCACCATTTCATCAAATCCAGGGCTATCTTACCCCATGTAGAACAGGAATTGCTTCAAATGTCATGGCATTTTGAATTACCCAAATGGTCTATTTTTATTCCCTATTATGATACAGGTGGTTTTAAATACAGAACAAAGTGGCTGTGTATTCTAAATGGAAATGGATATGTTAGCCTATCTGGCTTTAAAAGTTTTTACATTTCATGTTCATGATTTCCATCAGCAACAACAATGAATCTCACTCCTGGAGAAGGTACCCTTGATTTCAGCCTCTGTTGTGGCAGAAAGGTATGCATATAATTTTGAGGAACACACAAAAACCAAATTGTCAACTATGTGAATGCATGCCAGACAAGGAACATGCAAAAGGGTCTCATTGCTCGCCTGAGCCCATGTATTTTCACACACACACCTTCCAATCTGCTACTATCCGCACAACAGATGAGCTGGTTTCACGAAATAAGAAAACAACTATCAGAAGCAGATCAAATGTCTCAAAAAGGAGACAAATCCATGCTTGCTGTGCAAAGTAAAATGCTATTGATTTCATTAGTTAAGCACACAGTATTTAGGAACAATTTTCTCATTACAATAGCATTTCTAAACTGGCTTCACAGACTTCTGTAATGACAATGCTTCCCAGCCACCCTTGGGTTTGTCTTCTCTTTCCTGTTTGGTGCCTTTTAAAATTTCCATGGGTTAGTCTAGAATGCTTCTTGCAAATATGGCAGACTGTTCTATGCTCTGCTACCAAGAGGGAGAGGGAAACCTACTTACTTCTCAGAGCGTATTCTTTGGGCTCCAGTGCATTCAGATCAGAAAGGAATTCGTCAGTGTCTTGCATGCACTTGAGAGAAATATTTCTTGCAGGAGAAACAAAAGGTAACATGAAGTGCAGACAAGCCAGCAAAGTGAAGGCCATCATTTCTCAATCTGTCAGGATTGAACTCATTTCTTAGACAAAGAGCCTAATATTTATGAAGCTCTTGTCTGTAATGTGTTGGGGGTAAATGTGACGCCCCTCATGCTTAACAAGCAAAGAGACAAACCGCATCTCCTCAGCCACCTGCAAAGCGGACAGATAAACCATGGAAACCAGTTTATACACAATTTGTTATTGTCAAGTGAGACAGTGCTGTGGATGTGGCGCCGCTGGCCACCTGGCTTCCTTTAGTTATGCAGATTAACATGTCCGGCACACAAGACTAAGACTCGGGTTGTCTCTGGATAGATGGCCTGGTATATCTCTCTGGGTTTAAAAAAACTAAAAACAAAACATGTCGATGATGTGAAGTAGCAATATTTGGGTTTCGACCAAGAGTGATGATAAATCCGACCTGTAAAATGATTGGCTGGATGTTAAGCAAAGCCGGGCTTCTCTGTGAGCAGCAGGAAGGGTCATACAGCTCCTAATGGATTTACTGGACTCTGAAAGCAGTGTCAGCCTGGGCGTGATGCAAGTGCTCCAGGCAGATACACACATGAAGGTTTGGAACACACATCTGGGAAAGGAAGCTGTGCTGGTTGTTGGTTGCACTTTAAGAAAACAAAATGTGTGGGTCACAGGTAAACATGCTTACTCAAGAAAGGCTGTCTTTACATAGTAGCTGCTGCATCTCCACTTGAAGAGCGACATGTCTGAACACCTTGTTTACACTGCCTGAATACATTCGTGGGGAGTCCAGACTCGGTTGCACACCCTGCTACATGTTTAAAGAATCTTCTAGTATCCCAGGCTGCTCGTCTGGCCTTGAAAAGACACACACAAGCATAGAAACACACACACACACACACACACACACACCCACACATGTCCTCCTGGGCCACCCTACCTGGATAATCCTTCTCACCATCCTCCTCTGAAGCTGTATTGCATTGGGGGGCATGGTACTGGAGAGATGGCTCAGTGGTTAAGAGCATTGACTGCTCTTCCAGAGGACCCAGCACCCACCTGGCAGCTCACAGCTGTCTGTAACTCCAGTTACAGACACCCTCAAACAGGCATACATTCAGGCAAACCACCAATGCACATACAATAAAATTTTTTTTTAAAGTAGAGTGTTTATGTCTGGACATGGTGATGCATGTTTTAAACACCAACACTGGGGAGACAGAGACAAATGGATCTCTGAGTTCAAGGCCAGCCTGGCTACATAATGAGACCCTGTCTGAAAAAATTTAAAAATTAAAGGTTGTTATTGGTGTGTGTGTGTGTGTGTGTGTGTGTGTGTGTGTGTGTTCACAGTGTGCACACATGTGAAGGTTGGCAAGCAACTTTGAAGGAGTCTGTGTTCTCTCCTTTCACCTTTATGGGGTTGCAGGACTTAGACTCCGGTTGTCAGGCTTCTGTGGCAAGCATGTCACCCTCTGAGCCACCTCACAGCCCCGTTTCAACTTATTCTTTAAGTCACTCTTGGCTCCTCTAGGAAACCCTCCTGGGATCCCCCCACCCCATGAGAACAGCCACTTCCTGTACTGATTTTGCACACTCTTTAGTCTACATGACAAGGTTTACTCTCTAGCTCTGTCAGATGCTGGCTCAATTTTTTAAATTCTTTTTTTAGCATGGTTCTGGGGATTGAACCTAGGGTTCCATTCCTGTTGAGCAAGCACTCCACTAGTGGGCCCTCATTTTACTTTTTATATTGAGACAGGGTCCTACCGAGCTGCCCTGACTGGTCTTGAACTCACTCTGTAGCCTAAGCAGTCCTAGAATTGTTGTCCACCTTCTTCATTCTCCCAAGTAACTGGGGTCAGAAGCTTATGGTCCAGGCCCATCAGGAGCTAGCTCAGTTTTGCTGTCTGTAAAAATCATGCAATCACTGGCCTCCCATAGGTGTTTGTAGAATGGAGTTAAAGTTCAGGACACACGAACACTTTAACTCCAGTCATAAGCATCATATTACAGTTAGTTTTCCATGCCAACCGGTTTTATTTTTGCTAACCAGCTCCCTAGTTTTTGTTTTGCTTTATTTTCAAGTGTATACAGGGCTGGGGTCATGGTAGACTGTTTGCCTTCCATGCAAGAATAATGTCCTAGATTCAATACCAAGTACTGTGCCCCCACACCAAAATGTGAAGAGAGAATTGGAAACAACAATGATGACAACAAACAAACAAAACAACAACAACAACAACAACAAAACGAGGTTTAGCTAATTTGAATCTTTATGAATGGTTGAACAGAAATGTCTCTGAACCTTGGATTTATTCATTAAATAGTTGCTAGTATACACTTATCAAAAATCAGAATGACAGGGGCTGAGGCTATAGCTGAGTTGGGAGAGCCCTTGCCTAGCATACAAAAGTCCCTGGAATGAATCCAAAGCATCACATAAACCAGGCATGGTGGCACATGCCTGGAATCCCAGCTCTGAGGAGATAAAGGTAGCTGGATCAAATGTTCAAGACCAGCCTAGCTACATGAGAGAGTCTCAACAAACAACTGAAACCTTACTTTTGGATAATTAAGGGTTTAAGGTCCTTCCAATGTTTCTCCAAACTCTTAAAAAATTAAAATTATGACTAGTCGAGGCTTAAGGAGACCCAGTCATTCGCAAGGATATTTTAGGCCCCTGATTGATGCAAGACACCATTCTGGGCACAAAAATAGGACAGGAAAATAAACATGGGCCTTCATTTCCTGCCAACAGGCCCTCATCATTTCCTGAAGCAGCAGCCGTCAGCTGACCAAAGTTCTGAATGCCAAGGTCATTTCCTTCTAGAGCTGGCTATGCAAAATGAAAGGCCACAGACCTCATCATTTGGAGATGGGCTGGGGAAAACAAGGACCTGTCTTTGCTGACAAAAGTACACGTAAATGTGATGGAGAAAGTGAAGTTGGTCTCTACTGCTCTGGGGTGGGGATGTGAGAAGAAAGGGGACTTTGGATTAGGAAGAAGCAGAGCTATGGAAAAGCTGAGGACACTCATCCAGAGTGTGACAGACAGTTAGCAAAGAGACGGCTAGCATCAGGCAGGGGTGATGCTGCAGAGAAAAATAACACAGCACAAAGTGGGAGGTTAATGTAGTCAGTATGTGTGCAGCTGACTGGCATGTGTCCTTCCTTCCTTTCTCCCTCCCTCCCTCCCTCCCTTCCTCCCTCCCTCCCTCTTTCTCTCCATCTATCCATCCATCGATTCTTCCATTCTTCCGTCCATCCATCCATTTTTCCTCAAAACAGGATCTTTCTCAGTGGTCTATGATCTTCCTGTCTCTCCTTTCCAAATGCTGAGATTTCAGGACTGCTCCACAACCAGCCACTGGCAGGCTCACATTTTAGCAGGGGAAATAGAAAGAGCTCTTGTAGCAGAGCTCTTCTAAGTTGAATCAAAAGATGGGGAAAGCGTTCCTGGGAATAACTGTGGGAGAGCATTGCATTGCAGAGGAGGGACAGAACAGCCTGGTGAGATTGTATGCAAAGAATGGGGATGGGAGAGAGGAAGTAGTGGGAGATGAGGTCCTCCCAGAGACAGGATGTGGGGGAAGGAGATGGGGATCAACTTCTCAACTTCATTTCCAGTTATCCTGATGAGTCTCTTCTAAAATAGCCAGCATTGGTATGTTGCTTGGCAGGTGACTTATTCAGAGGGCAGCAGAGCTTAAACTTCAGTGCCCCACAATGTAAGCATTCAAAATGGTTCTGAAGATCCCTTTAAGAATTTATTTTTACTTTAAAAATATGTGTGTGTTTATGTCCGTGGCCATGGGGACCAGGAGAGGGTATCAGGTCTCCTGGAATTGGTGTTTATGAGCCACCCAAGGTATGTATGGTGCTGGGAGCCAAACTTCAGTCCTCTACAAAAGCAACCACTCAACCACTGAGTCATCTCTCCAACCTTCAAGGATGACAGCCTCTTTCCCCCTAACCAAACAAGGGCAGCCACCACAGTCATGGCCACCTCCATGGATACATTTCAAATGCCCCTGCTTCTACAGAAGAGTCGAAGTAGAGTGAGTGCCAGGTGGGTGATCTTCTGGCCTCTACAGGAGTAGTTCACATCTGTCCCCTGCCAAGATCCATACTATAGCAGGTTCCCTAGGGCAGCTCCGCTTTATTGGTCCTTATCAAGCAGTAGACCTGTGCCTGCCCTATTCTCTGCCACACATGATACTCTCAGAAATAACTGGTCTGATTAAGCCTAACATGACACAAAGATCAAAGAATAGCTTGGACTAAGCCTACAATTTCTGGAACTAAGGGGAATGTCTGTCATGGGGGACTCTAAAGACAGTATTTTCCCACATACTCTTGCAAACGAGGTGGTTGTTCTTGTGTTTAGAGACAGATGTGACATGACAGTGCTCTGTAGGACTCTGAGAACAGCTCCAGGATAAACAACTTGCTGCAGAAAAAGCCAGCTGAATAACGGTTCCTTTAAACACTGTAATATACAAGTGATATAAACAGTGTCCGGTCATGACTCGGAGATAGCCTTACTGGCTGAATTTAGAAGCTGCTGGCAAAGGATGTTTTTCTGAGAAATGCTGTTCCATTTCCTCAAGTAAAAATATCCACTTGGGGCAAGGGAGGAGGATATAGTTCCAGGACAAACCTGGTGAGCTGATTCCTTGGTCCATCTTCACCCTACCTGGAAAGATGCAATACATGCTGGCAAGAAAACAAGTAGCTTCTGACTGCTGCCTCTGTTCTGGCAACGGACACAGCCTGCTCCTGCAATGCCTGCTACTGAGGGGCCCTGGTCCATGGCTGTCTGTCCCAAACTGCTTAGTCTTCTCATGGCTGAGGGCAGGTTTGCACTTAGATAGTCCCCAAGGGCCTCAGCATCCCTTGCACAGTGCACAGCTTTGTAGAGCCCATTTTGAATTCTCTTAAAAGTTAATCCTTTCCAGGACTGGCTAAGTGGTTAAGAAAAGCATATTCTGTTCCGGCAGATGACCTGAGTTCGACTCTTAGCACACACGCCAGGCTTACTCCCACAGATGACTCCAGCTCCAGGGGATCCTGTCTTCTGGTTTCTGCTGGCATTGCGCTCATGTGCACAAACCTGCACATATAAATGTAATGAATTTCAAAGTTAAATAAGATTTTATAATATCATTAGAGTTAAATCTTTTCTAGAACGCTGTGTTCTGCTGAGAAATTTATTAAAACAAGATCTTTGTTGGACACCCTGAATCTGCCCTTCCAAAGAAGACAGAGAACATAAGTGAGCAGAAGCCCATGGAGGAAAAGGAGGAAGCTGGTTATAAAAGTTTCATCACATAATATATTGAGGGGGTTGTGGTTTTGTTGGAGACAGGGTCTCACTCTGGCACAGGCTGACTTTGAAATCATTACATAGCTAGCCCAGATCAGCCTAAAAATCAACCGTTTTCTTCTTGCCTTGACCTTTCAAGTTCCGGCCTTAGAGGCATGATGTTTTGAGTGTATACTAAAATAATCACAAGAACCCATTAGCACTGCAGAGAGAGCTAACGTGGGGGTGAAAAGAGAACACTCAGGGAGGCCCGATAGTAACCAAGTTTCAAATTAACCTCATGTCCACATGGACATGAGGACCATGAGCCAGATGGACCAAGGCCCACGTATTTAGAATGAGTGTTTTGGGGTGGTGATAACTACAGAATTCCTGGCTAGGCTAGAAGTTCTTAGGAACAGTAGAGATACATGTATTGCTCTACATTTCCCTCTTGCAACTACTCGTACTATGGCCCACAGGGCTTGCTTTACTTTCATATCATTTCATGTACCCAACTTCTTGATTTCCCTTTTAATTTCTAATGGAACATTTCAAGATTTCTATTACTATCTTCATACGTTGTGGCCAGGAAAGACACTTGATGTTTTCAGTCCTTCCAAACTTGCTCAGACATGTTCTGTAGCTAATATAGTAACTGTCCTGGAGATTGCCTCCTGAATATTTGAAAGGATGTGTGCTCTGTTGGTGCTGGATGGAATGTATGGTAGATGTCTTTTTTTAGGTCTGTTTGGTCCAAAGTGTAACTAAAGTCCAATGTTTCCCTAATTGGTTGGTCTGGGAATGGCCCTTGTTGATCGTGAGGAATTAAAGTTCCCTGCTATTTTTGTAATATAGTATCTTTCCCTCCAAATCTATTACCATTTCATTGATATATGTAGGGGCTCAGTGTTGGGGGTGCAGTTACATTTACAATTGGTACAATCTGTTGATGAATTGGCCTTATTACAGAATGTCTTTTATCCCTTTAGTTTTTTACTTTGCCTGTTTTGCCTAAGAATCCCCACCCTCTCTTACTTCTCCTGAGTGAACACCCATCACTTCCAGTCTTTGTATACCTGTAAAGGAGATTCTCCTGTATATAGCCTACAGCTGAGCTTTTAAAATGCCGTAGCTTGCTGCTTCACTGGAGGATAGGATGAGTCTGCAGACACAGCAGCAGTAATAGTTAAGAACTTGAGGTTACAGTGGCTCATGCGTTTTCTGGCTTGGGAGTTCTATTTCACTATCTTCCTCTTGCTGTCTTCCTTTGTGGTTTAGTGGTTTTCCATTGTGGTGGCTTTGAATCCCTATTCATGTTCTGTGAATCTGCAGGTTATGCAATCACACCATTAGGCTTACAGTTGACTCTGTAACAGTGTGAGGCTCATGGGGGGTGGGGGCGAAGCACCAAGTAGAAGCAGGTTGAAGGAGCCATTTAAGGAAGGTCACACTATGCTTGAAGAGGTCATGGTTTTACCAGAAGACCCGAGGTTCAGGGCGCCCACCCACAGCCTGCCCTGTATGTATCACAGCGTGAGAACCCCCGTGCATCTGGTACACTGTATTTTCAGAGTATTTTCTTGGGTTAAAAGTTCTATGAGTCCTTGTAAGCTCTTCAGCACATTTTCTTTATTTCCCCTTCCAAGTGGGCATTTTTTCTTAAGTGTTCACAGCCTAAGTCTATTATAAGTCTATTTGGTGCTCATAGTAGCTGCCCCAAGTAATCAAGTAGAAATTCCAGTGTTGGTCGGACACTGAGATGGGCTCACATAGGCCTAGAGATGCTGGTGAAATGCCACTGCCAAAGCCCTGGCAGGAGTGTACAGTAGTCTTCATACTGTGGAAGAAGGGAGGAATCTGCTGAGAATGTGGCCGTGTGGACAAAGCCTTCATGTTTCCTTTTCGTGTTCTGTATCACTTGCCACTATTCTTCCTTGGGGGTCGCTCTTACTATTACTGGTAAAACCAAGTTGCCCCAATAGAGGCACAACTCTGTCTTAAACATGTATCTAAAACTCAAGTTGGTCTCAATATTTAATCTAAGCCTCCAGGAGAAATATTGGAATCACCTCTGCTTGAACTTTCTGATCAGCTTCTTTTTTCTTTGTCTTATTGCATGAAACCCTCTCCTCCCTACTTTGGGGACCTAACTCTGCCCACCTGTGTCCAGTCCTTAGCATGAGCTAATGCCATGGATCCAGCAATGATTCCTGTCATGGCCATCATACTGCCTTCTGAGCACATAGGGAGATACTCTTCCTACCCCAGGGACCACATGACTGGTTTTGGTGGATGACTAAAGAGGACACACTGCTTTTACTGTTACTTCCGGGCCAGTACACTTAATTGAACTTTCCCTTTCAGTTTTTGTCCCAGTGGGAAAATGGAGTCAGGCATTAGGGAGCCATACCTCCTTCAGTCTACTCACAGTGGACACTGGAAGTAAGAAAAAGAAAAAAAAAATCTTGGACAAGCCATTTGTTTGCTGTATCTTCTCTCTCAAACACCCACACTTAGCATGCAGTAACTGAATGATGGACGGGACCCAGCATATGGATTCTTGGTCAGCAATCGTGTTAACTCAAATGTGTACAATTTAATCAATGGTAAAGAACGCTCCATTCTGACTCTTCCAGGTCTCTATTCCCCTCTGGAATATCTATTAAACCAACACAGGGTTCTCTCATTTTGTCTTTCTTTACTTCTTCCCTGACTACCACAAACTCCAGCTCCTAATCACTGCTGTATTCTGAGGTAGTGACTGTCCAGGTTTCCCTGCAGGGTGCAGCACTTGAGTGATGGATTTGTAACCAGGGTTCTGGTTTCTCTGTTTTGAGCCTCAGGTGTTTTAAAAAGCCATTCTTGTAACCCTTCAAAACGAAACATTTAACAGGTATCAATTCCATTTTATATCTGTTTATCAAACAAGTTTGGTTATTCTAAAAGTAGAAATACTTCCAGTTATAACGTAGTGTGGGACTGGAGAGGTGGCTGAGTACTTCAGAGCTTGTACTACTCCTGCAGAGAACCTGCATTTGGGTCCCAGCAACAAGCCGAGTAACTGGTTTGCAGCCACCTGTAACTCCAGCTTCACGGACCTGACACCTCAGGCCCCTGCAACACCCGTGTGCTACTCTCACACAGACACACAAAAGCACGTAAGTTAAAAATAAAATTTCTTAAAAACCATGGTGCTCTACACAAAAGTTTGACTATTGTATTTCGCACATAACTTTATTTGTTGAATAAATGAATATTTGTCAATATGTACATAACCACAAAGAGCAAGTACTAGATTGAGAGCAAAATATTTGGGTTCTAATATGCAAAGCCACTTACCAGCTATGAGGTCTCAGATGAAGAGCTGAGCCTGAGCTCAGCTTCCTCAACTGTACTTCCTCAACTGTAGGCTGTACAGACCCACGTGGCCACCACGCAGGCTTATTGCAAGGTTCAAATGCGGGAACATGTGAAAGTGCCAATGAACACAACTGGGAGCAATACAGATGCAACAAGTAACAGCAATTAAATTTCAAGTTGAGGAATATTTTCACACCCTTGGATTGTACCGATATAGTCAACAGAAAGCGGCAGAGTAGCTAGCTGGCCACTGGTGAGAACGAGCAAGCCATTCTTCAAAGTGGAAGGAATTCTGCAATATTCTGTAGCCTGTCCCGGTAAGGAGTCACTTCCCAAACTTCCAGATGTCAAGAGACCCACCAATAACTCTCTTGAAGAAACTCAAGGGCCAGATGTTCCTCGTTTATTTACATGTGAAATGGGTTGAATACAGTCACAATGGATGTAGTGAGCACACCCAACAGCAGCAAGACCTTTCAAGGAACTGAACGCTGACTACAGTCTAGCATGCAAGTCTATATACACAAATGGATTTCTTTGCTTAGGAAAACAAAACAAACAAGTACAAAACATATCTGAAGATAAATACAAGATATAAAATGCAACGGAAAACACAAACAATAACCAAAATATAGAGCTTTCCCAGAGAACTATACAGGGAAGTGACCAGAGAGCACCTCTACAGTGCTCAAATCAGGCGGCCATGAGAGGGTGCTGAAACAACACTAGAAGCCTGGCGGCTCAGTGCTTCCTCTATGGCCAATTGCAGAGTACAGGCTGCTGCATTGCTAGGTCGGTGGTAAAGTTGTGCATCCCAACTCTAAGTACCAGGACATTTGGCAGTAGCACCCAGAACAGGAAACGCCAACTGTGTAGACAGCAAAGTGTTAAGTCAACCATGCCTTCATGTTCCTATCAAAGAGCCAGAGAAATACTCGATATTCTTGAAAGATGTGTCTCTGTAATAGTTGGTGAGCTGCATGACAAAACTTGACTAGAGAACTACATACAGGTCTGACTACCTTTCAACTTTGACAGTAGGCTGGCCTTTTCCTAGCCTGTCTCATCATGCTCTGTCAGACAGCCTTGCAAATTCACCCAGAAAAATCACCAGCTGTTTTCTCCCCTTTATGGATCCCTTCTTCCTCATTCTTCCAGATGGATTAAGGATGCCTGCATTCCCTGTTGGATTCCTGGCCTCTTTTACTCACTTTGGAGGACTAGGGGATCTGCAAGGCTGCATTAGATGCTGTCTGGGAGGGTTCCGGCCATGTCCCCACCCGGGTGCTGTTGTCCTTGGAGCCCTCAATTGCTAGGAACAGGCACACTAAGTGTGGTGCTAAGACACTTAAGAGTTGCTAGTGTTGTGAGACCCACAATCACCTACAAGTTATGTGGTGAGTTCTAAAAATTAAAAACACTAAAAAAGGCATGTTAGCCTGTAATTATTGAACTTATTCAAATTTGTAACATACAAAATGGTTGGTTTGAATTCAGGAACTGTCCCTGTTACGAAGAACTCTGTTTTAAGGAAACAGTACAAAAAAGGAAAACTCTAACCCAAAAGAAAAACAAAAAACAAAACTCAAAACACTTTCCACCAATACTGATACAAACATGTAACAAAGAGTATAAAAAGTTATTTAAATATATACAAACTCTTTAAAACTCAAATACTGCCTTAATACTTATGGGGAGGGGCACATCTGAGGAGGTGAGGGGAGAGGACAGATAATATATTGCGACAGCTTAGACAGTACTGTTAACTCTGTTATACTGCAAACTTTTGGTAACAAAAAAGTCTTGTTTTCAATTCCTATGTGGATAGGGCTTTTCTTGTGGAAGATCTGTGGCTATTTCTCAGCTGAACTCATTCTTTTGGATTTGATGAAGGCCATGCCATGTGTCCGCATGTGCGTGTTTAAGGCAGCTTCCGTTTCAAAAGTCTTGGCGCACACTTTGCACTTCCTGTCTGACACTGCAGCCTAAGTGGCCTCATCCTCAGGGCCGGGCTTATTCTCTTGCTGGTTGTCTTCCCCAGCCCCGTTTTGCTTGGACACGGGCTGAGGCTCCTTCAACTTGTGCACGATGAAGAGGTGCCTGGACAGGGAGACGTGGGATGTGTAGCAGAGGCCGCACTCCCGGCACTGGTAGGAGGAGCCGTCCGACTTGTGCTGAGGGATGTGTTCATGGAACTGCAGCAGGTTCTCGGTGGTGAAGCCACACACAGCACACTTGTGAACCTTAAAGACATTGATTTTCAGCTTTTTCAGTGGCTGAGTGATGGCGCCTCTGGGAGGCCTGAACTCCAAAACTGGTTCTTCCAACTTCCGCTTGGGACTGGGAACCTTTGTTGGGGGGAACGAACACAAAAAAATGATGCAACTAAAAGTGGTGGACTCCGTGCCGCAATGCTGGTGCTGCTAGGAAAACAGACACTGGATGCAGGGAGGTTGGGGGCCTCAACGGTTCAAATCCCCACTGCAGTCCTCCCTCCCACCCCCAGCAGGAAACATTTCCTGCTTCCAGGGGCCACTGTGCAGTGAATGAGGAGCTTATGATCTTGGGCTGGAGGAGAACAGCACCTCAGGCCTTCCACAACTCCGAAGACAAAGCTAAGGCATGGAAAGGGTTCACGTGAAAAGACACTGGGAGGGGTCAAGTGAGGATATCACATGGACATGGAGGGCCATGGTGACAAGTGATAATGTGGACAAGGATCTGGTTCAGATATCAGAAGCTGAGTGCTAAAGCCCCAGGTAGCAGCAAGGCCTGTGTGGCTTAGAGGATGACAGGGTGGAGGGAGACAGAAGTACAGAAGACTAGGCCAAGGGAGGCAGAGCAGAGCACCTCATGGGAGAGAACACTGATACATGCTTTCATATCACTAGAGGGGAATACATGGACCCAGTGCCTGCTCCTGGCAACTGTCCTTCTGGTCTTCCCTGTCACTCCAGGTCCCCTCTGGACTTGCCTTTTTCTTTTCCCCTGGCTTTCCTAATGCCACACCTACTTAGCTCTGTCTAGATGAGGGCCATGATCAATGACTAACTGCTAATGCTTGTCTTGAGAAACTGCTTTAGCCCAAGTACGTTCTAGAATTTTCACGGCACCAAAGTCAGCAGTGACTGCTATGTGGTGCTTTCCGTATCTCCAACAGCAAGCAGAGCACCCAGTGCCTTGAGCATGGAGTCCTATAAACACACTGTCAGCTGACCGAGGTTCATTACCCACACAGACAAAAATACAGCATGGTTGTGGGATTTGATCTTTTATCATTCCAATGAGAATCAAAGAGTCACACCTGTCACTGCTGACACAGCCAATGAAAAACATCAGCTTAATACAATTCTTGGATGAAGAGACAACTTCCCTAAGTCAACATATAATTTTATGAGTTATATGAGGAGATCCTATGTGTTGTTTCTAGACGGATACAGAAAAATCTTAGAAAAGGTTACTTCTTAGGAGCAGCTGGGAGCTGGGATGGGCTGTAAGGGCTTACTGTAGTTTTGATACAGACTGAACTTAAACTATGACTACCCAAAATGTAGATGGGGATGAACAGGAACACACATCAGCACACGTCACAGTGAAAGAATAGAGCTAAGGTGTCTGACCTTGGAGTCTTCCTTTATGTCAGTTTCTTCCTCGTTGGCAGCCTCGGTCAGTTCTTTCACGTCAGGGTCCTTGATCCCATGCATCAGCTGTATATGCTTCTCCAGCATCAGCCGCTTCGTGAACGTCCGTCGGGAGTCTGGGCAGTGTCTGTGAGCCCAAGATTGAGAGAGAAACTGTGGTTGCCAAGTGGTGCTTATTACAGAGGGACCTGGCTAACAGCATGTGCACGAGGCCCAGAAAGGCAAACTAACACTGGGGCCTCCAAATAAAATAAGCAGTGCTGCTGTGACTCCCCACTCCCTATTGTGCAAAGGTCCTACCCCTAGGCTTTTGTAAAAGCTGTTGATTAAAAAAGAATGTATATGTGTATGCCACATGTATACAGGTGCAGCCTGGAGCTAGAGTTACTACAGATGGGTGTGGAAGAGCAGTGAGAACTCTTCAACTGCTGAGCCATCTCTCCAGCTCTCTGTTTCATTTTGTGTCCTCACAGGAACAGTCTACTTTGGTTCAAGCAGATATCTATTTTTCTAGATTTGGCTAAAGCATTATTTGAGTTGTAATTCTAGATGGCCTCAGTCTGAAAACAAACTGGAGAATACTAAATTTTCCAAAATTTTTTTAGTGACTAAGAGCAGTCCTCAGAATTTATGTAAGAGATGCCTCAGGCTGCAGGAAGCCCCTTCTGAAACCCTGCCCCCTCTGCATTCCAAGACAGAATGTTAGCCTAGATTCCGCAAAGCACAAATGCAACTTGTGTTTGTACCTGGAAATGCTTACTCATTTGGTAGATTAAAATGCAGAAAGCATGTTATCCATTAGAGGTAAATTACTTAAATTTTGAACACTACAAAGATGATTTCCTGGAAAGGTTTTAATTTACGAAACAGTCCCAAGAAAACAGTCCAGAAACAAGTAACACGGAGACAGAGAATTGTGAGTTTGAGACCAACCTGGGCTAAAGGGTGAGACCCTGTCTAAATGCAGTACCCCCAATAAACAAACATAAAAATCCACTGTATTCTGAAGGGCGATATCATCTCCTGTCTTTAGAAGACATTTGTTACCTTGAAAAGGCAACTGGGGATCTTAATGACAGTCCTCAAATGCTGGTGACTTCATCTTAGGAGATGTTCTATGGGGTGGCAGCAAGAGCCAGCCTTACAGCAAATGTTCTCAAGCCTAAAAGGTTTTTTTCTTTGAGAGTGACTCTGTGTGTGTGTGTGTGTGTGTATGTGTGTCTGTGTGTGTTTGTATGTTGTCTGTGTGCACATGTATGTGTGTTGTGTGTGTGTCTGTGACTGTATGTATGTCTGTGACTGTGTGCGTAGTGCTTGTGTGTGCCATGGTACGTGTGTAGGGCCAGAAACAACCCTGTGGAGTCAGTTCTCCCCTTTCACCTTTAAGTAGGCTCTGGGGATTGAAGTTGCATTGTCAGACTTATGAAGCACTTTGGCTCACTGAGGTATCTAACTGGTTCCTCATGAGGTTTTTGGCTGGTAGTAAATTAGCTGGGGTGGGGGTGGGGATTTCTTCATTTTACTACCTTTCAGTAAAAGGGGGAAAAACAGAAAAAAAAATAGAAAAAAGAAAAAGACCAAATGAACAAAAAAGCAGCAGCTGTCATAGAAGACCCAGGCCAGGCTTTTCCATCTTGTCAGCCTGGGACAGGGTGTGCCTGATGCACTTAGTGCCAACACACAGACTTCTGGAATGTTGTCATCACACACATCATCCCCACTTTGATTTCCTACTTAGAAAACATTCCCTAAATACTCAAGGAACAGAAAATCCCCATTAATCTGATGGCCAACGTCATATGTGTCCTCACCATGAGGCCTAAGGGCCTGGCTCTGACCACAATCAAATGCGTTCCACACAGGCTCTGTGGTCTCTCTCTCTGCCTGCAATGCATGTATCTATGTATGTACACCACACATGTGCTTGGTGACTGAGGAGTTCAGAAGAGGGTGTTGAATTCCTTGGAACTGTATTAGTAAGGGATGTAAACTACCATGTAAGTGCCAGGAATCAAACTCAAGCCTTCTGCAGGAACAAGTGCTCTTAAGTGCTGAACCATCTCTCCAGTCCTTCTGTGGTCTCCTATGAGCAGAGCTTTGTCCTATTTACTCACCATGCATGTGGGTTGAGTGGGTGACACAAATTTCCCACTAACGATAACCACAGCTGGGTCATCTCATACAAGGAGGCAATTTAAGGCTGACCACTGGTGGGTGAGTTCACACTGGCCCCTCAGTCCATCACATTTTGTTTGATCTCAGCCAACAGTCAAAGCTTCTCTAACTTGGGTGGAGGACTGCAGCCAGATGGCTCACTGGCCTAGGCTAGAGCTAAGAGTATAAATGGGTCCCCTTCTTAGTCTTCCACTGAACCTGAGTAAATCAACCCTAAACCTACATGGCAACATGGTCCAATCACTATATAAGAACTATCTCATCCACTGTGCACCCGGGAAGCCCACCACACTCTAATACAAATGTGTCCCACTTAGTAAGATAATACAGTGTGTGTGTAAAGAAATGTGCTCACTTTACATGTGACATGAAACACACACCCTGAAGCAGGATATAGGTAAGACGGAGAACCTAGACACCAGAGCAGAGGAGGAATCAAAAGTAAACGGCAAAGCCCAAGAAGCTTTGTGGCCACCATCCCCCATCTGTGTGTGCACAGCAGATTGAGACTTACGAGCAGGCATACACTTTCCTGATGCCTTTGTGCTTGATGCGATTGTGGCGGCACAGGCTGTGTGAGGAGCTGAACGACTTGTCACACTGGCGGCAAGGGTGCTTCTTCATTTGCTGTGCAGGAGAGAAGAAAGGACCCCTTAAGACGGTGGAGGCAAAAAAATCATTTTGTGGCACTGGTGACCAATGCTGGGACATATGCATGCTGAGTAATTGTTCTGTCGCTGAGCTATGGTGGCCCTAAAATAGTGTAAAGACTAATAAAACTATAAAGTTCTTTGAAAAATACATAATTACAGAGCTAGAGAGATGCCTCAGTGGTTAAGAACCACTGGGTGGTTAGGCCAGAATTCAATTCCCAGCACCCACAGGGCAGCTCATAGCAGTCTGTAACTTCATTCCAGGGGATCCAATACCTTCTTCTAGCCTCTCTGGGCACTGTATACATACAGTACACAGACATACATTCAGGCAAAACATTCATACATATTTATTGCAAAAAAAAATTATAGTGCAGTAGTGTCATCTAGGAAGCAGCTCATTTTAGGATTGTAGAATATTTCACCCCCTAAATACTTAACTTTCTAACCCAAATATCCAGATATGTTACAGAAATATTATTTTCATGAAAGTTACTATTTTTAAAAGTAGACAACATGTGAAACACCAAGTACTTCAATAACTACCAAGTAAAACCATCACTTGGTTTGTTGTAAATGGGAAATTGCCTTTTTCAATGTGCCATGTTAAAATCATTGGTTGATTTTAAACATTTAAAACCTTTGCTTCTCAGTGATTAAGTAACCACAAGATCCCTGCATGATGCATGTGATTATCTTGGGAACATAGAACTTTTGAAGGGTTTCTTTCAGTGGGCTGCCTCTTAATGTGTATGAGAAAATGTTTACATATGAGCTATCACACATGATAAAAAATACTTTAAAACTACCAGTAAAAACAACTCTTTTCCTAGAAGTTTCAGGCTGGGGATACATCTCAATGGTAGAATGCTTGTCTAGCACAAGGCCCTAGTTCAATCCCAAGTGCCACACACACACACACACATACACACACACACACACACACACACACACACACACACACACACACACACACACACACCACTTTGGCTAGGGACACAGATGTGCTAGTTAGATATCCCTCTGTGCAGGACCCTTGAAGCACACTGGAAGTTTAGTATAAAAGAGATCTTGGGCATGACAACTATTAAGCAGCCACAAACCAAACACTGCCATATCATAAGGGCTGCCATTCTCTAGAATGGAACCAGTTTGGCTCAGCCTTCACTAAATCAGGCTGTGTAGAATCAGTTCTCATGTGAGAGACGTTACTATCGGCAGTACAAATGATGAAGAAATACCCATTTAGACTTAATCATCTGAAGTATGTGAACTGGCAAGCAAACACATTTAACTGGTGAGTCTGGCTCTATAGAACCAGAGGGGGGCTGGTACCCTGTCTCTGTGATTCACAACTGTGTAGCCCCAAGCAGACACTCAGCTAACGGCAGACATTCCCAGAACTGTGAACTAAGGTCACAACCATGTCTTCCTTGTGGGGTACTGTGGAAACCCTGAACCCAACTAAGACTGAACACGAACAACTGAAGAGACACACAAAATTCCCCTTTCATTCTTCTGTTACATTAGCACAGTTCCATGTCCCTGTTTCATTTTCGAGATTGGGGAAACAGGCTTGTTTTATTTATGAAACAAGCTATGTAGCTCAGGCTGAACTCATAGTGATCCTTCTGCTTCTGCCTCCCAAGTGCTAGGATTAAAAATGTTCACTACCATGCCCAGCCTTTTAAATACAGCAAAAAGGGTCAGAGAGTGTTCAGAGGCATCTGGAACCCAGACAAAGGCGAGGGAGAGAATTCTCATCTCCTAACAATAAAAATATCAATATTTTATGAGGAAAGAAGGAACAAAGAGATAACCACAGGCTGCCTCTGAGACAAACTGCAATCTTGCCTATGGTGTCTGAAGGAGAATGGCCCCCACAGACCATTTGGAATATTTGATTGAACACTTGGTCCCCAACTGGTGGACCTGTTTGGCGAGGATTAGCAGGCATGGCTATCATCAGGGCTGAGCATTGAGGTTTCAAGCGCCATTCTCAGTGTGCCTTTCTCTGCCTCCTATTTATGGATCAAGATGTGAACTCTCAGCTGTTCCTGTCTCCTAACATCATGGATTCTTACCCTAAGCCCAAGTCAATGCTTTCTTTTATAAGTTATCTTGGTCATGATGTTTAGTCCAGCAACAGTAAAGTAACTAAGACGTCTCCCAAGGCCTTCCCCCATAATCTGTGTTTTCTTTTGAGACAAGCTCTTGCTATGTACTCCAGGCTGGCCTCAAATGCACAATTCTCCTGCCTCACTCTCCTGAGACCTTGGTTATAGGCATGTGCCATAGCAACTTTTGATTATACAGAGCAAAACATTAGAAACCCTACTCTATGTATATAGCCAAAGAGTAAGAGGCAACACACGTCCATTTCAAAATAAAGCTTTAAGCACAGAATCATCAACAAATACTTTTGTTTCAAAAGTAGTATTTAGAAAGCCAAAGACCCGATTCCCCTATTAATCTTATACATATCATATACATATCAGATAAACTTGCAGCTAAGACACAAGACTGCTTTCTAAAAGTAGGACAGCTCTGTCAAGTAACAGACTCCGAGCAGAAAGTACATGACAGGGTAGCACAGCAAGAGGGCACAGGGAGAGGGACTGGACTCTTTCTAGGGTGGCAATGGGTTTAATGTTTTCTCTCCTGTCACACCAATATATTAACACCAAAGCAAATTCCTAATAAAGAAATGCCAGTGGGGACACCCTCAGGGGACAGTATCTGAGAAGCAGCCCTGCTGAGTTCATTTACACAGAGTTATCAACTAGCACAGGGTGACCAAAACTCCTTTCAGGATTAAATGAAACTGGCAAGGTCCATGTTCTGTCAATGTTCAATAAGTCCCAGTGACAGCCATCAAGAAACAGCAGAATGCCAACTGACTAAATGGTGCCCAGTTGTTCCCAAGCCACACTGACATACACGATCAACTAGACCAAAATGCTTTCCAAGAAATGTCGTAGCAGCACTCCCTCACAAGGTAACTTCTAAACACGAACCTATCTATGGAGGGTCTGATCCAGTTACACGGTAGGTCTCGTCTGCACAACCCCACCCCAACACTTTACTACCAGGAACATTCTTAGCGCCCCCCCCCCGAATGCCTGATGTTCAGACAGTTTGGAAGACTGTGTGGGCAGGTGCTCCTTCACTAAGAAAAGAGTTGAATCTCAATAAACTCTCCACAAGTGGAAAGTGAACTTAATAGCCCCACAAACTCATTACGAAGTTGAACACTTACAGCAATCTGGGGGCAGGCTGTACATACCCTGGGTTAAATTTACAAACCAAACATGACAAGAAATGAACTGATAAGCCAACACTTACAACTCATGCTCCTCCAAGTTCTGCGAATGTGTCTAAGTCAAAGGGCTCGGGGTACTCCTAGCTTTGCATTGAGAGTGTATTACAGCCTTTTCATGGCCTGTCTGAACTGGCAGCATTCTACACAGCATTACTAAAACGAGGGTGAGTTGAACATCACCAAGGTGGTCTATGGCGCTGAGTGATCACGGTGGGCAAAAGGTAGAGGGCATACTAGACAAAGGGATGATTCAGCCCCTGGGTGGGACAGTACAAGATTTCATCACACTGTTGTGCACATCTAGAATTTCCAACCTAATGCTTATACCCTGAAAGTCAAACCACAGAGATGGAACAAGATGATGCTTTTATAAAGAAACTTAAGATATGTAAAAATCTAGAGGTGTGGGGGTAGGAACAAGACTCCGCTGAGCTCCTTCATGCTCACTTTGTGGACCATGTAAATAGAGTACACATTAAATAAACCTTTTTTTTTTAATCTATTGCCTCAAAAGAAATGTAAGTTAGGTTTACTGAAGTAAAGTTTTACATGGATGCATTTTATATTTTATATAGTCCTAAACATCATAGCTCACACTTCTAATTCCAGCATTTGGGAGGCAAGAGAGAGTTCAAGGCCATCATGGACTATGTAAGACTGTGGGGGCTGGAGCAATGGTTCAGTGGTTAGGAGTGCATCCAAATCAGGCAGCTCACAACTGCCTGTAACTCAGCTCCAGGGGATCTGATATCCTCATCTGGCCCTAGTAGGCACATACATATACAACATAAATTCAAATAAATATTTAAAAAATACAGTTGAGTTAGGCCATGTCAATCAAGATACAGAACAGGTATGCCACTCTCCATATTCCCATGGGCCCTTTGTGGTTAGCCCTGTCCAGCACCCATGCCCTCTTTTTTATACCTCTGCTTTGCTTTGTGTACCTGTCATAAAGCAGGCCACCCCTCAGCATACCAGGCTCCCAACACAATATACGGCTAACTCGCCTGTGTATTCCTTTTCACTTCACAGAAATGTCCCACTTATAGCTATACCCTAGTTCACGGACCCATTTACCAGTTGGTGGATATCAACATTGCCGGTTTGGAGGAAATGATGAAAAAAGCTATTGTAAATGTTAGGTCCAAGGCAAATTTTTCCAGTTAATAGGTATGGTGTTTACTTGCAGGTGTATCTAACCCCTAATGTTCTGGGTTTCCTTAAAGGAGTGCTTAGGTGTTTTTATCCTCCATAAACTCTCTGGGAACAGAAGCTGCCTGTTACTCATCATCAGAACCTTGTTTTTCAGAAATACTTGGGTTATATTAACCAATAATCCGTATGTATTCACTAGAAACACACCAGTAAGCCCTACAGGGCAACAATCAGGATGAAGTGTTGGGCTCAGAGCAAGCACTGCTTAGTGTTCAGACATCAGGGGATATAGAGACTACAAGAGGCAGAGCGAGCTGAGAAGAAGGGAGGTAGGAAGGCTCAGACAGAGGGGGCAGACAGATCCTCCATACTATCTGGACCTCACACCCATCCATCCTTCAATCAAGTGAAATACCCATCCCCACGATAGCACTCCCAGATTCTTTGGCCTGCACTTCAAAAGGACCAGGTGTGCTGGTGTACGCCTTTAAGCT